ATCCACCCCGATATCCAGGTCCGGTAGCAAAGAATATGCCCGGCACTTCATATTTAGGCTTCTCATTCGCCTCAGAAGGTACTATGTCACTGCCTGAAAAACCCACTATTCCACTTATGAATGAATAGATAGTAACTTTGCATCTTAGACTACAATTTTGAAGCAGAAATCCATGAAGTTAGACGTAACAAAATTTGCCAGAATATGTTTCGTTATTCAATAATTGGAACATTTGAGCCTTAACCCCATAACAGTACATGATAACTACGGTCACATTCTTTAAGTGTTTTTTATTTCTACTCTTCGCGCTTTGGTTGTGCTTCATAAGCTTGACTTGATTTGAAAGGAGCTATTTTATACTAGGGAAGGTATCTTGGATGTTTTCTCCTGAAGCCCAAATTCGTTTATGGAATGAGTCTAAAGTGTTGTGATTATGTGTTAGAAACCTCAAAAAGATAGCTACATTCGATCAACCATTGCTACCTCTATGTAAATCTCTAGAAAAGGTAGTTGCGCGAAAAACTAAGTCTGCCCTATCTATCCACTCCTTTTTTTCTATTCGCCAGTCAGGAGACAGACACCCATAAGTTTTTGATGATTGCTTACAATTACAAAAAGAGTATCTTGTTCCTTGTATTATCTACATAGCTTATGACGAGGAAAATCACTTACTAAAGAGACTTTTCTGGACCGGTAGATAGCCAGGCAATGTGACTGCATGGGCATGATCGGCCGTAACGATTATCAGCGTCTCAGACGCATCTGTCATTTCTCTTGCCTGTGATTGAAATATTTATTTATGATTAGAGTTAAATTGTAGTTGAAACGTTGATGCGCTATGTAAAAGTCGGTGCATTATGCTTACTACAGGACAGCGTCAACTTCCAAAACAAACCTTTCGAATGGCTTCTTCAAACTCGTACACTTCACCAAAGGCAAGATGCATGTGGCTGTCATGCTCTGCTATGTCGATGTTGCCGCCTGGTATGGTAGCTCTGAGATTTCTGGCACAAGTGAGCATTTACCTACCTTCCACCATGAGGAAGAAGCCTTCCTCGCTTTGTTGTAATTGTTCAAT